TTTTTTTTTATTTGTTTTTTTCTTAAATGACGATCAATTTTGCTTTTCATTAGCGGTTTAAGATGTCCCGGTCCCCCGCTGTTTGTTCCTGCTACCTCGATGCTGCGTTTGTAGCTTCATAAATGGCTAACTTGGTATGACTGACCTTTTTACGTGCATCAGCTATGAATGGAAACTTTCTCCAGCGGCTGATAGTCTGCTTTGACAGGGTCAGAAGTGCCCTCTGTTTCGTCCTTCTGCGAGGACATTTCTGCTTACTTAGTTGTGCTGCTTGACCAGTTGGCTTTTCTTGTGGCAGTGCATTAAATGAAGTGGGCGAGAACTAGTGGTGATCAGGTGGGATGCTGAAGAGTTTAAATGTTCTCTTTGTGTCTGTTTACTTATTTTTTAAATAGCATTTGTATGATCACTGTTTGTGTGTGTAAAGCAAAATTAATGATTCAGTCTATCTGCTGTGATTGTAGGAACTTCTGTAAAATAAACTGTGTCATATTGCTTACTGTGTGAAGTTTTGATTTTTTTATCAGCTCAAAACCAAATATCGTCTCCTTTTAAATTATAGGTTCTTGAGTGTGGAGTCTGTGAAGATGTATTTTCTTTGCAAGGTGACAAAGTTCCCCGGCTGCTTTTGTGTGGCCATACTGTCTGCCATGACTGTCTTACCCGACTTCCCCTTCATGGCAGAGCAGTTCGTTGTCCTTTTGATCGACAAGTTACTGAACTAGGTAAGAAAATATACGGCTAAAGTTCTTGAAACCTGTCAACCAAGGATATCTAGAAGATAATGCTAGATATAGAGTCTTAATGCTCCACTTAGTGATAATATTTCCAAGTAATGGATGCGTAGCATTCCTTTTCATTCAGATAAGCTCATGGCATTATTAAGCACTAGTGAAATAGATATCTTAAAAAATAGTAAGTAAAGATTTTATCTTTATTTTCTTAAACCTGGGCTTGGAAGCTCTATACTTTGAAGTCTTTTTGTACAACTGTATTTACAAAGGGACTACTCTTTTAAATTAGTGTCTGAGGGTTCCTGAATGGGTAATTAGTTTCCTGTTGTCCTAAACACTTAATAAACAATTAAATAGGTGGCTTCTTTGACAAACAGATTTGTCTGTATTCATTCTGAAGTGATATAGAAGCAAGCATCAGTGATAGGAAATCTGTTTTTTAAAATGTGAAGTAATTCTATATATGCAGTAATTGATAGCGGCAGGATATAAACAGGAATTCCCCTGCTGGAGGAGTGTCTGCAGACAGCATTTGAAAAGATAAGACACAGCTTCTGTCCAACAGTGGAAGTTTATTTTAGGCAAAATATGACACATGCTTATAGTTCCTTCATAATAGGAATTGCCTATTCAACACAGAGTTACAGAGAAGATGAGTTATTTATGAATTTGTGCTGAGAGTAACTTGTTAATAGAACTGGCTCCAGCAGTTTTGAATAAAAACGCTGTTGGAAGGAGGAGAATCCTCAGAGAAGGAGATCTCAGATCTAGTAATCTATGGAATAAGTGTTTAAATATTAAATTCACTTGAATAAGGATTTACTTTGCAGTAAAAGAATCTGCTAGATTGTAGACCAAACTAACAGCAATATTGAGACACTATAAATACTTTCATGGGAAAGGAAGTATGAGTCTCATATGAAAGAGGGGTTTGTTTTCTGGGGGGAGGGAGGTGGTAAGTATGAGTGTCATGAATGCCAATCTAGAAGATGTGGTTAGAACTCATGATTTCTTTTAGTTCTTATCTGTGGAGGTGCAGCTGCATGAGATTTCTTAGAGCATGCTTTTGAGGGGGAGAATGTTAGAGCATAATACTCAGTCCTGCTGTTGGGAAACATTTCTGTATGAGACCACTGCTTGTATCTTGTAAAGTAAAAGTAGCATTTTTATTATGATAAGGAACTTATAACTTCTTAGTTTTTATTGTGTGTGGTTTGTTGTTTGGTTTTTTTTTTTTGTTTTTTTTTTCCTGGGCATCTGAAAGTATCCTATCATATTTTCTTGTGATTTTCAAGTTTAACAAAAATTAAGCTTTATAAAAACATTTGAAGTTTTTTCATCTTACATGATACTGAGAAGCTTCTGATGAAACACAATGAAACATTATTAAACTTGTAAGGCTTCTACAGATAAGAAAAGGAAAGAAAAGTGTCAGCTTTTGTGTGTAGGATACTAGACTTGTATCCTACTAGCTAGCACTAGAAAGAAGGATGATATGCTGTGACCAGCAGTTGATCAAAAAAGCAGATAGGTAGAAAATTTTAGCAGAACCGTTTGAAAGTAAAAATACTTCTGTGAATAAAAACGTTCTGCCTGGTGACTTGGGGCAGAAGAGGGTCGTAGCCTCTTTTAGTCATACCAGGTCCGTAAGAACTGTCTTAAGAAATATTATTGCTTCCAGCATGTAAAAATGGGGTGTTTTATGGAGTCTAGCTCATCATGGCTTCTCTTTGAGGTGTCTGTGGATTTGTTGTCTTGCTCTAATCACCTGGTAGTTACTACTGTTGGTTAAATCTGCTGTGCTTATACTTCTGTTTCCTTCTGAGAGCTCAGGAGTGAAGCTGGGAGGGAGGCATGGCAAATCTGGGCCCAGGGAACTTCTCATCCTTCCCTCTCCTCTATTCCAGGGCATGTGAGAAAGCAAGCTCCGTTTTCACCTGTTTCTGCATTTGCCATTCTGCTCTTTAATGAATTAGTCTCAGCAAACTGTCGAGTTATCTAAATTGAGACTATAGGATCACTGCCAGGAGAAAGTTCTTTAAAAAGAAAATCTGTATAATCAGGGAGTACCTATGTTGAACACAGTTCCTTAACCAGTAACTGTGGCTTTGACAAATGCTTTTAGTTGTTCATTTAACCTGTAGAGTTCAGCAGATAGAACTGCTTGTTTTCTTTTGTTCTTATTACTAAATCACTTAATCCTATATTCATCCAAGTTTTCCCAAGGAATTTTGGGAACTTTTTGAAATAAATACTGGGGGATCTATGTATGTATAGGTGTAGCTGTATCTTCTCCCTTCTGCAGTAGATACTTGGTTTAAATTCACTGGCCTGTCTTTTACATATATATATATATATATATACACACATGTGTGTATATATATATATATATTTAAAAAATGTATAAAACTGTATGGGAAAGCAGGGTTAGAAGTACTTGTCAGTCAGGATTTCTGGAAAGATGGAGTCTGCAAGTGAAAACTAACAACACACTTACATGCTTAGCAAACTATTCTAATAGTTCATAAAATCTTGCTATGAGAGGAAATATTTAGTACTGGAACCGGTAGGACTAAGAAAGAAAAGCAGAATTTGAGCTAAAGTCCAAGAGATAGATGTATAGATGTATTTACAGGACTGATCTTTTACTGTTTTAAAATATAAATATAAAATGAACACTTCATCAGATGTGTTGAAAATGTGTATGTTGAGTATGTAGTAATTTTATAGTAGATTTAGTGTAAAAAGAAGCAAAGTGTCATTTTCTAAAATAGGTATGCTTTATGGTAGATACCAGTGAAATGAGACATGACTTTCAGTGTGATAATGCATGTTTTATAGGGTGCTTACTGGTTATGAATTCTGTTACAGTAGATTAGTAGTTGATGTCTAAGCTTTACCTGTTTTTCCATCTATGTCCAAGATCAGTGGTGCACTGACAGTGTATAACATACATCAGCAGATCTCAGGCTGTATAATGTAAAGTTAAAGGAAGATTGTAAAATCTAAATACCTTTGTTTCTCCTGACAGTGTTATGAACTGGAAAATAAAAATAGAAGAGCTACAGAGGTGTCTTTCTGTTGGTTACATTTCAGTAAGTTACTTCTGCTCTGCCTTTTCTGGCTTGGATTTCTCTTCATGCTAGATGTGGAACAGAACTAACATGATTAAAATCAGATATGAGAATGTAAACTGAGGATAGGGCTCATTTGTTGTTGGTTTTGGTTTTGTGGTTTGTTTTTGGGGTTTTTTTGATAAAGATATTAAAACCTATGAAGGAAAATACTTTTGTAAGAAACATTATAATGATTGAACAGCTTATTTCTCTCTCAACCTTATCTAATGTTTGCTTAAAGGCTAAGATGATGTTTGCTTAAAGGCTGATTTGCTATAATCTGTTTCATAAGTAGATTTATCCTTTTGGTGCGTGTACATCCATATATACTCTACTATTAATGGGTGTCTGGATTAGTGGCTGATCTGGAGATATGAGGTCCACGTTAGTATCAGCAGTCATTATATTGATGTGTTGTTGAGTATTTTATATACTGTTGTAACTGAAGGTTGTGCACAGTTGGTTTGCTACAGGACGGTGCTGTTCTAAACACTGTAGAAGAGAACTATCTAGCCACTTCTCTGTGCTTTGGTTTATGGGAGTTAGTATCTAGAAATCTGTCTAGATACAGTGTTAGCAAATCCAGACTTGGTTTACAAACTAGTTTGACCTAATTTAGATTCTAGAAGTGAACATTGTGCTCTGTATTTCTTCAGCTTATAATAAGAGGGGATTCTTCCTTGCTCTGTGTTATGAAAAACAGTGTGATCCTGCTAGGAGTGCTCGACCTGAAAAATAACTAAGCTCTGAAGTCAGAATGAATCAAGGCAGGTGGTTGTGCTGGTGCTACCTGCAGTTGTGGCAGACCAGAACATAACTTCTGTAAACTCCTTCGAGATCTGTGGCAATCAAAAGTTAAAATACTTTTCTTTTTTGTTCCCAGTTTATTCTGTGGAGTGCACTGAGCTTAAATTGGGTGTTGGTAATGCTGTCTGTACCAGTGAAGGCTTCCACTGCGCAACTGATGAACTGCAGAGAGCACTGATGTGCCCTTACTTTATACCTAGCTTTAGAGTTACCAACCTGTACCTTGATAGGCCTATTTCCAGAAACAGCAGATTTGTTACAATGAATGATCTTTTACTGGTAAGCTTTTTTTTTTTTTTTAAACAGACAGTGAATGTTGTTTTGTACCAGTTGAGGGTGTTGAAAGGGAGAATAGCTTATATATGCTCCAGTTTATACCTATAGAAAACCAGTCTTCATCCATCTATCTGTTCTTTGAACTGTGTCTTTTATCTGTGAGGCACATAACTTATATTTTGAGTTTGAGAGTATTATGGTCAGTGGTTTAAACTGTGGGGAAAAAATGCCTAGGAAAGAAAGTTCTATGTAGCAAAACTGGAAGCTACACAAATCAGTAAGTTATACAGTGTGGATATGTTGGTTCCTGTTCACATCCCTCTTCAGAGGTACCATAGCATTGTTGCCCTCGCTTTGGCCAGATATGTCACGCATCTCATGGAACTACTTGTTCTGCTCCCCTTGGTGGGAAAACAGTTGGCATGTGGGCATTCCAGTCTTCCATATAATTGTGCCTAACTGCGTAATGCGGCTCTGCTCTTTGAAACAGCACTGCAGGAAAAATGTTAGGTGGAAAAAGCACTTGCATGTATTTCAAACAAGTTTTGAAGTATTAAGGTTGAAAGCCAGTTTCATTTTTCTTGTTTCGTAGCTCTTGAAGTAAAAGAGAATGTTGGGGTTTAACCATGGTGGGCATCTCAGCCCCCCACAGCCCTTGCTCACTCTCCCACAGTAGGGCATGGGTGAGAATCAGAAGCGCAATAGTTGGTTGAGATAGAGACAGCTATTTTAATAGCTAAAACAAAAGCTATGCACACAAGTAAAGCAAAATAAAGAGTTAATTCACTGCTT